TTCCCCCCCCCCCCCCCACCACACACGCTTCCACTCTTGCGTTTTACCATTTCGGGGTCGAATGGAACACTGTAGGGACATCAAAGGATTGAGGAAATGAATTGATTCGAACATTTTTAGATAGTACCGAGACATCTACGTTACTTTGTCCGATTATCAGTACGTCTCGTTAAGTTTTTCATCTAATTTGTTTATCGTCAATGAGAATCATCTCTTACACTATGTTTGGTTCAAGGAATTTGAAAGGGAAAAGAAAAGAAAATGAAGTAGAAAACTATTTTTCTTGTTTGGTTAGAGGGAAAAAAAGGAAAAGTGGAAGGAAAAGAAAATGAGGAGGTAAAATGTATCAAGTGGAGGAAAACCAAATTCCTTCCATTTTGGTGAGGAAAATGAGAGAAAATCATTTTCTTTTCTTTTCCTTCCAAAATCTTTGAGCCAAACATAGTATTAATGCAACAAAGAATCACATTTTGCATCTATTGCTAACAAGCAATTTCAATCATAGGTTTAAAACGCAGTTCTTAGTAATTCATTATTTTGATACCAATTGGATTTGTATTTAAGTCTTTTTTTAATACTCCCGGGTAACACAAATTACTAAAACACATTTTGATTACCATGGTTGATTAAATTTTATTTTAAGATTAATGAAGAAAAAAATGTAAAATTTACTATTTTCATGAAGTATTTGTTTAATTTTAACTTTTCACAGTCAAAATGATAAACTTTAATCATTGATTAAATAGAATTTATACTAGATGTTAATACAAGAATAATTTTATTAAAATTCTTTAGTAATATATTTTCAAAATATGCTTTTATCTAATTAATATATTATATATTTTTTTATTAAATTATATGTCAAAGGTCGATGATGGGAAATATTATTTGGCCCGGATATCTCGGTCCGAATTTCCAAATTAATATTATCATAGCTATCTATCATCACCAAATACTGGTCACAAATTACTCCAACCATAATTGTCTTATAATCAACTCATTTTCCTTAACTACATCCATCATTCACTCATTATTATAACTACCTCACCCATCACTTCCTACCATCAATACTCTAACCATTCACTCTCCTACCATATTTATCTTCATAGCTACTCTTTCATCTCTCACTATAAAAAAACCATTCACCTTCAATAGGGGGGAGCCAAGCTCTTAAAACTAGTGTACACTCTCACACTAAGAAAATGCTCCTTGTATTATTTATTCTTTATAGAGCTAAAACGCTCCATCAATGACTGTAATACCAAGATTATATACTGCCCCCGATATTAATAAAATCTTCCCGTTGGGATGGTACTTCCGGAAAAATGCCCGTGATTTTCTTCCGATTTAGATTTCCATGTCAAAAATAGCATGTTCATATTTTTGGTGATTGTAAGGCTCGTTTATCATTTTGACACAGTAAAAATGATAAAACAAATTGAAACAATTAACACCATTAGTCGATTTTAGTTAACTGTAAGAAAGTTGATATTAGTTCACTGTAAGAAATCAACACTAGATAAATACTTTCGGACAGAAGGAATATGTTTAAAAATTATACAAACATTTTATAAAAAAATACTCCCTCCGTCCTAAAACTTTCTTCCCACTTTCCCTTTTTCCCCGTCCTAAAACTACCTTCCCATTAGAAAAAAAAATGACAAATGACATTAATACCCTCATGTATTTACACCAATTATCTTTTAACTCTATATTTTGAATGATTGCAAAAAAATTTCAAAAAATCTTTTTTAAGGAGGGTAAAATTTGAAGTCAAAGCCAAAAATTAAAAATGGGGAAAAGTCAAACTGGGAAGAAAGAATTAGGACGGAGAGAGTAACATGATTATTATTCGATCCTGGGAAAAAAAATTATAGGTAAAAATATGAAATAACACCGTATTGTACCCACTAAAGCCTTAGATAATACTCCCTCCGTCCTAAAATTAACTTCTCATTTGACTTTTTACGGTCTCCAATGCGGTACTTTGACCATTAATATCTCCATTTTTATATGAAATATATATTATCAAAATAATATATTTCAAAACTATGTTTCAAAATGAATCTATTGATACTAAATTTATATAAAAATTCAATATATATTTTCCGTAATATACAGTCAAAGTTTTTAAACTTTGACTGCAAAAGTCAAAATGGGAAATTAATTTTAGGACGGACGGAGTAAAAAGGTAATGGCAAATTCCATAATGAACTTAAAGTTCACCATTGATCTACATATGAGCAAAATAATCATTTCTTTATTACTTAAATAATTTTTTTTTTATAAACAAAAAAAATAAAAAAAGATTTTTTTTATGTGAAAAAGTCCACAAAAATGATGTTCACCTAAGGTGCACCAAAGAAGCACTCAAAAGTAATTACATACAACAACAACAATAACAACAACCCAGTTGAATCCCACAAGAGTAGGGTCTGGGGAGAGTGTGTGTACGCAGACCTTACCCCTACTCGAAAGTAGAGAGGCTATTTTCAAAGAGACCCCGACTCAACGTCGAAAGTTGCATTGCTTGACTAACTGCTACTTCATTAATTAAAGAAGCGTAGACAATTTAGAGATTCATTTTGATTTATTCCATCATACTCCAGAGCCAGAAAATGGTGAAGTTTTGACTCAAAAGTAATTACATACTATTAATTAATAACCATAGGTATATAAAAAAGTTATAACATACCATTAGATAACTACCATAGTTATCTTGACAATGGCACTTGATGTCATATTATGATGCTAGTGACCAAACTGTGACTTATGAAACTTCAATTGATAAACCTAGTTACATTCTCTAACCCCAGTCCCAATGCACCATGTACCCCTATATTTGAACCCTTCAATTTTTGTTGACTACAAGATCAAAAGTATAACTCTAAAGTCAACAAAATTTGGAGAATTTTCGTAAATAACATTAAAACATAATGACTTTCTCCAAATAGCATCACATGTGTTTTTTCCCAACGTAGCCGAGTTAAGAGGTTTACTGAAGAAATAGAGAGATAAAAACCATCTACTTTTTTATTGGAATATCGTGGAGATCCAATCTCGTAATATGACATAAAGGCATGATTAAATAAATTTTACATCTGCAACTAAATAAATTAAAGGTTCTATGGAGAACAGAGGGAGTAGATGAAGTACTTCGTAGTAAATACTGTGGCAAGTCTGCTTAAAAAAGGCATGATTGTCATGCCCAAAAGGGACCCCATTAACCATTAATGGAATCCTTAAAGATTATACATGAGTTTGAATAGTAAATAATCTAAGTTATGATCCACACAAAAAATTGTGACAAGTTCCTAAACTAGCTACATTAATTTAACATAATTAGCCTGTCCAAGGCTATATATATCTATATTTATATGAAAGGGGGAAAAAATGAATGCATGTAGTATATCCATAACATATATTAGCTTCTTCTGCTTTCTCTTGAAAGAACCCATAATTCCCATGCAAGAGATGATGAGATCAGAAATCGGGCGTACGTGGGCCCGGCGCGTCCTGCGTCGGGCCTGGACCCCAACGTGCGGAGAAGCTAGCCCGGATGTCGTATCTGGGCGGGCTTCGAGTGGTAATGATGATGATGATCGGGCTTCAGATCGGATCAAACCGACGTAGCTATTTCTTGCTAAGACGACATTGAGTTGATGGACCTTCCAATGGTCACTCAACTCAACTCGTATTTTACTAGGATGCGTATGCATGTTTTGGCATGCATGCATGCACGCGCTTAGCTTGTTTTGAACGAACGAATGAATGAATCTCTTTAACGATGAGGAATTGGCGAACGTATCATCGCCACGCTCACGCCTGCGGCACAACAAAACAAACTGTCAAAGAAATTAGCTCCATTGTTTAAAAAGATGACATTAGGTCCAAATGAAATTGTATATATGAACCACCTAGTTCATCTTAAGTAATACTCCCTTCGTCCTGAGTATTTGTCCAGTTTTGACTTTTTTTAGTCAACCGTTTTCAACCTTTGACCCATAATTAAATAAAATATATATTTTATATTAATTAGATAAAATAAGATTTCAAAAATATTTCATATAATAAATCTAATAAAACTATTTTTGTATCAATATCTAATATCATTTTTATTTAATTTGAGGTCAAAGTTTACCAATTTTGACTGAAAAAAAACTAGTGGACAAATACTCAAGGACGAAGGGAGTACAACTAACATCATGAAAGAAGAAATATAATGTGAGATGAAGGAAATACTACTATGACGTTTGCATACATTAGATAATGAATGAATATGGACATTTACAATTTTAATTGGGCAAGGAAATTACAAAACTATGCAGTTGCACTTTGTTGGGAAGAAAGAGAGAAACATATATACATGAAGAGGAAGTCTATTTTGACACCGTTTCAATTAGTGACAAACGGCGACATTAGTTCAATTGGGACACCTACGGTGCTTCGATCGTAAATTTTACGATCGGAACAACGTAGGTGTCATAATTGAACTTATATAAGAGAATGGTGCGTAAGTGACTGGCGTCAACGAAGGCACTTATTATGGAAGAGATGCAAACCTGGTTGTAGCGGCGGTGTGTGCGCAAGAGAAATGGGGGTGGGGTAGTGCTGAGCCGGGTACCCGGCGGTGGTGTTGATGGCGGCGGAGTACGGAAACAAGTGGTGCGGGTACTGTACGCCGTATGGCTGGCCGGCCGTGTAGCCGCCGGTGGTGGCTCCGCCGCCGCTTCCTTCACTGAAATTCAGGTAAGGGTAAAAGGCCGCCGCGGATAACATCGCATTCGTGCCGCTACCGTACATTTGGTACTGTCCGGCCGTCGCCCCTCCGTACATCCCGTAGTAACCCTGAACAAACATGCATGACATAATGAGTTTATCGGCAAGGTTCTTTCGAGACGTCTTGTTGGCTTTCGAAGCGGGTCTTACTTCTATCTCTTCCTTTCATCCCTCCCTCCCACCCATCTCCAAAGCGGTGATATGTTAGTTACGGGGGAGGGGGGAGGAGGGGACATGTAGGACCCACTTCGCGGCCAAACAGGGAAAAATAAGAGTGAAACATTCAAAGTGTGGGTCAAAAGAACCCTTTTGAGAGTTTTTATGTTATTGTCCAAATCATGCTAGAGTCACACAAAGTTTATGCATCTACTCCTAAAACGATTTTCTCAATCACTAGGTCTAATTTTATTTATTTTCGTTAGTTATTTGATAAAATAATATAGCCATATCCCCTCTTATTTTGTAAAACTTGTGATAAAGTTTAAAAATACGAAGTATATAATTTGTATTTCTTAATTTTATAGCTATAATCAAATAAATTGAATTGAAAATAAATTCAATCAAACCTCATAAACCGAACTAGAAAGATCATTATAAGACCAGGGAGTATATACAATAAATGATGTCAAGCTTCACTATTGTATAAAATAAATCTACGCATTATTATAAGTGTCATTACCATTATTATGGAGTAAAAATCACTACTACTTTTTGTATTAAAAAATTAAATGAAAATGTAGTCAAAACTCAAAATAGAGTCTATGTCCACAATCACATTGGATCCCTTCATCTTTCCGGTTTGAAAAAATAGATATCATCCCAAGAGAAAAGTACCAAAATAAGACTTTCATGTTTTTTTCCTGAAATAGGACTTTGCATTGTGGTAATGTGGTTGTAATGTGGCACTGTACATGTGCACATCACTATACTTTTTGGTAATCTACATGACTATGTTTGGTACTCCCTCCGTCCCATTTTAAATTGTCTGTTTGCCTTTTTTTTCCCCGTCCCAAAATAAGTTGTCTGTTAGTTGTTTTCGTAAACTTTTAAAAATAAAATACCTAAACTACCTCAAAAACAAGTCACTCTTCTTCACCTTATCTTCTCATTCATCATCACCCCTTCTAAAAAGTAATGGTAATTTCGAAAAATCAACTCTATTTTTTATTTTCCTTAAATATGCCCAAAAATCAAAACAAGCAATTTAAATTGGGACAAAGGGAGTAATATAATGCATTTTAAGTCCTATTTCGGGAATAAAAACATGAAATCTTATTTTGATATATTTTCAATGTTTTAGTCCTACTTTAGTTTTTTTCTCTTGAAAAAAGAAATATACTCCAAGGTTTTTATTTATTTTTTCTAAATTTGAAATATGAAAAGGGGAGCAAAACACCAAACTTTTTCCATTATGGAAAAGGAGAGATTCGGAGACAGATTTTGTTTACTTTAAGAAAGGTCAAAGGTAGCTCGGTTGACTAGTCAAACTTACAATAATGCACTCCAACTATCCAATACTCTATACATGAGTATATGCTTACCAAAGAAAACTCGAAAAAAGAAAATGAATTAAAAGTTAGAAAATAAATTTTCTTCACTCCCTATTGCTTCCCAAAAGAATCATAAAAAATGATTTTTTAATCAATTTCTCTGTTAACCTATCAAAAATAGGATTTTGGATTTTTTTTAGTTTTCTTTTTCATTCCTTTATTTTACACTCTTAAAAATTTATTTAAAACGCTGACGCTAATTGAAAACAATGTTCGAGGGCTTTTTATTAATTACAAAAACTAAATTATCTTTCCCTAAAGAAAAAAATTGATGATGTTTCGTATAAACACGAAAATCACTTCGCTCCAAAAAGTATAATGATGAGAGTGCCATAGAGTAGACATGTCATGATTATATACTCCCCTCCCTCTCAGGTAAAACTTCTCAAACACTATTGTCTGATTTTGTTTTGTATAACTTTTCATATAGTTTTTTAATTCTAAGATTAAATAAATTAAATTAAAAATAAAATCATCGGCGTAACAAAATCTATGAGAAAATGAGAGAGTATATATGTAATGGAAGCATCAAATAAGTGATGGGTGACATGGTAACAAACTTTAAGGTATTTTTAATTATGAGAAATGATGACTCGTAATTTCATCATGTTTCGAGCCTTTTAGTTACTCTCACTGTTGCACAATTTTTTTTTTAAAAAAAACTTTCTACATGATTTACTATATTCTTTACAAAATAGTATTTCTTTCTCATCTAAACAAATATCCACTTCATTTTTCATGGATTAATATGACTTGCTTGATAAGTTGAAAAATAAATAATGAACATGGACATGAAATACCCATTTTTATTATAAGTTACAATATAACATAAGGAAAAATCATAATGGTCAATTGAAAGTAAATAAAGTTCCCTTTTTTCAGGAGATTGAAGTTCCTTTTATTGTATTCGAGTAATTTTTTTAAATCCCATGAAAACCAATCCAGAAATTTTTTTCGTGACGTATAGAGTATATGGGAGACCATATACTTCAAGCTGAGACAAATACTTCCATCACATTGATTTTTTTACAACATGACTTACGGCGTTTGACTTATATAATTTTCAAGTATTTTTATTAAAAATAATTATATTATTTTTACTTAAAGACTATATCAAAAGACATATAAAATAAAGTGTAATATTAATATATTATTTTTCAAACTGATCAATGACTATTTAGCCTCTCAATAACTTGTTATTTGTGCACTTTCAATGATTATTTAATAAAATAAAATATTATCGTCCCATCTTATTTTCTAGAACTTATGATGTAGTTTTGAAACATGTAATATATACCTTTTATTTCTATATCAATCCATAAATAATTTTAAAAAAATGAAATTTTGCTCGTTATTCGAAATGAGCAACTATTTCAGACGAATGGAGTATAAAAAAAGTTGGTGTAAATTTCTAAAATGGTCATTTCTAATAAAGTATTTTCCCAATCAGTCTCCAATAAATATCCAATAAATAGTAATTACCAACATAGTCTTTTGTAATTAAGATGTATTCCCGAAATAATCCTCTAACAAAAATGTCTACTAAATGTCAGTGAAAGAGAAGGTATTGTGGTACTTTCTATCATCCAGACTTAAAGTATGTTATCAAAATGCTCCTTTACAATTACGTATTTTTTCAAAGTGATAATTTCTAACTAAATATTTTCCTGAAAGGGAGTCGATGAGCATACTCGGGTAGATCCGTTCCTCTAGCAACCACTTACTTAATTTAAAAGGACCATTTTGAGGACTTATTCATATTTTAGATGAACAAAAATGCCCTTCATTTAACTGTCATTTAATAAACACTTTTGATAGAGGACTATTTAGGAAATACATCTCAATTACAAATGACCATGTTGGTAATTATTGTTTCTTGAAGACTAATTTAGAAAAACACCTTATTAGAAGACCGTTTTGGAAATTACTCAAAGAGTTAATATAATTAAAGAGTTGAAGTGGATGTACAAACCGTAGGGTAAGTATAGTCTGGCGAAAACGAAGAGTACCTATCATCAACATAACATAAGAAGAAAAAAACAATCAACATTACATGAGAAACAAATTAGAATGTGAGGTCATATCTTTTCACAAAAAAAAAAAACTCATCCTTTTTAAAATTATTTTAGAAAAGTAAATTAACCCATATAATAACTCTTTCCTTGACACTATGCATATTTGATTCGTGGAATTAAGAACTGAAGGAAAAAAGAAAAGAAAATCAAAGAAACATAAAAAAATCGCAGAAATAAAAAAAATCTTAATCATGTTTTGTTTGTAGGAAAATTAGCGAGAAAATTATTTTTCAATAATTTCATGTTTCATTGTTGTAGAGTAATCCTTTTAAAAAGATTGAAGTATATACCTTGTAGCAAACTTGATGTTCAAGTCAGGCTGTTTTAATTATGTCTGTTAGTACAACATACTACAAGTGACATAAATACATAATTGCACATGCATTTGAGCCCCCAAAGACTCTAGTAGCCACATGCACATCAGCCCAAAAATATGTACTACTGCCAAAATAAATAACACACTTTTTTGGGTTTATTTCAAAATAAAGGTTCATTTCTGATCTTTTTTTTTGGAAAGGAATATGTGGCTTCTGTTTCTTTAAAATCAATTACAACCACATGAATTTTAATCACCATTCAACATTTTTTTGTGAAAATTGTTAGACCAAAAATGCATTTTTAATTTGAGGAGGGAGTAATTACTTTAAAAAGTCATATAGATAAATTTCAATGATGATAAAAAAAATTTTTTAAAAAAGGACAGTACATATTGTTTTTGCTTATCTTAGTGATAAAAGTGGGTGATCTATTATATATTTGTATATTAATGAATTTGTTTGTACTTATTTTATATAGTTGGGGGATGATTAATTAATAGGACATACCCATAAAGATTATAGGGCAGGCCTTGTTGGAGGGCATAATGTGGGAAGGTTGATGCAGAAGGAAAAGCTGTGGTTGTTCCAAACCCTCCTTGAAAGCCATTCATTGCATTGAAATTCCTCACTCCTCCTGCATGCATGCCCTCAACAATTATTATGTACAAAGAAAAACTTAATATATAGAATTTATTATGACTAAAATATGCACCCATTGAAAGAAGAAATGTACTCCTTTGTCTCATAAAAAAGTCAAATATTACCTTTGTCCCAGAGTAGTCGAGTTTGACATTTTCAAAACAAATTTTGACCATAAAGTAAATTAAATATTTTATCATATATTAGTATAATTATAATTTCATTAGATTTATCTTGTGGAAAACTTTCAAATATTTTTTTTATTATATTAATATGTAACAAATTTAAGTCTACTTTAACGAATACTCTCTCCGTCTCAAAATGGGCGCCACTGTCACTATTGCGACTTCTCGATAACTTTGATTTGTTTGCATTTTTTGATAAAATAAAATATTCTTGTGACCTCATGTTTTGTAGAATTTTTTATGTATTTTTGACAAGACTACATTGTTTAATAAAATGAGTAACAAAAAAAGGGTAAAAAAGTGGTTAGATTTTATCTAATAAATAATGAACATGCGACTTATTTTTTTAAAAAAATGGGGTATATGACAACATCTAGAAAATGATAAATGAGGGTGAAATAACATTTTTGGAATTGAATAGAAAATTTTCTAAAGGTGGAACGCCCACCTCAGGCGCCCCCACACCCCGGCCTGACAGGATTGTGAGGGGGAATAAATCATGGTATAATCTCAATCTGGTCCTTAGAGAGGTCGTTCCATGCCCGATTGCCTGGTGCGTACAAGGAGCTATTACAAATAATAGAACTCTCATACTACTGCTACCGGGATTCGATCCTAAGATTAACGGGCTTGACATTCCCTATTTGAACCAGTTGAGCTACCCACGCAGGGTGAATAGAAAATTTCCAGAGAAGAGAAGAGTGGGTGAATGATTGAATGTGGGAAAAGGAGCAAAAGTGTGAGGGTCACACATGCATGAGATGAGTAGAAATGAGCTGTCATTGCTTTATTATCTTTCCTTTTTTTTTTCCTTCTTCTTCTCTAAAAACATGTACCAGTGGCCACATGGCCATGCTAGCTTGCATGCAGGAAAAGCCAGTGAGAGGGATGTGGTTCTAAAGCAAAAGAAACTGTTTTCCTGTCATGTTATATGTTGACCCATCTCACCCCCGACTCCTACTTTAAATTTGTGTCCCACTAACAACGTGTGACACAACTTGAAACCGCGACAATTGTAATATCCATATTAACAAAATTCTGCGTAAATGTGAAGACTTAAACTAGAAAAAACGTTTGCTGTTAATATGGACATTCAATAAATTTTCATAAAGTAATAATGAATTAAATGTGGAATTTAATCAACAAAAATGACTATATAATGTCTATTAAAAAATGCATCCCACTTTTAATTTTATTCAATTTGATTTGTGTGAGGTCCACTTATTATAATTTTTCAATTATAATAAGTATTTATTTAATTAATTTTTTATTAATATGTTTTAGCAAAAAAAAAGCCCCTGCATTGTTTATATATGGATCTAAAGTCTATTGTAAAAGCATTCATAAGTATAATTTACATAAAAAAGGATAAATTTTAACACATAATTTCACTTTTTAAGTAGAATTAGATCAGTCAAGGGAACTTACTTTGTGACAGAAAGAAATTATGGAAAATTTTTCACGCATACAAACAGATTACGATGTTTGACCAAAACTATTTTCGATTCAATATATTTAAAAACTAGTGTAAAATTTTAAAAATAAATTTATATATCTAAAAATTACATACAAATTTAAAAAAATGACATAACTATATTATTTTATCAAATTAATAATGAAAAATAAAATAATGGAGTAAAAAAAAAAGTTACTCCGTGTAACTTAATTTTGTGAATATTAAATATGAAATTCTTTTTGAGTCACACATGTACCCTACAATCCTACACTTCAATGATGTCAAAGTTTTGTGATAGCTAGCTAGCTACGACCTATGGTAGAATATTCACCTTGTAGACTTGTAGCATCAAGAATTTCATATATAGTGCTTTGCTTTAAAGGGACCAAACGTGATTGGTGGCCAACCGTTAATTAACTAATCAATACGGAGTACTATAATAATGACTGACTCCAAGCATTATACTCTTTTTTGAATTATGTTTTCCCCCTCTATTTTATTAACAGTCCATTTTGTTTCTTAGTATCCAACCTTGACAAATAATGTACAAAAACATGCAATAAATTAAAATTAGACTATTAAAATTTATATCATGAGATTGACAACTTTATTATTACTTCCTCTGTCCTAGATTAAACTTCTCATAAGCTTTTTCATGAAGTTTTGAATAAAATGAAATAGTGTAGTGAATATTTATACGGATAAAGCAAGATAATGTGAACCATTTGATATTTTCCTTTAAACGATTGAAAATTTCGTTCAGGGAACACTAAATGAAAATAATAAAAATTAAGGCAGAGAATACATTTTAAGAGACATTTAGGTCAAAATAAAAGTTCGACACGTACATAGAACGAACCAATGTACAAACATTATGAAAAAGATGAAGTATACATTTTGCAACTTCGATATATTTGTGAAAAACATTTTTTTTGTACAATAAAGGACAGAGTAAATAAATTAGATATCAATTGCTTCAAAAAACAAGTCCCTATTTGTGTGGATTAAAGTAAACATAAAGTATAGGTAATAATACAGTACTCTTTATTAAACAATAAAGTCCAACTACTTAAGCAGTCCAAACTTCCAAGGGACACAACTGTCCATTTAAATTTTTAAAAGCTAGAAACAAGGAGAGAAAAAAACTCCCCAAGTACTAAATAATTAAATATTACTCCCTCCCTTCATGTATTACTATAATTTTACATCCCTTATTTCTTGTCCCAAAATTAAAGTATGCATATCTAAGTATGTACAAAAAAAACTTTTTTCTCTAGAGGCATTAACTCTCATATGCTAAGTTGAGAAAGTATGCATAAACAAATACGGAGTACTACATTATAATAGAATTAATAGTACGTACTAAAAAAAATTCTCTAGACACTCATTTCTTTCTTACCCCTATTAACTTTTCACCTTCTAGGTGCAAAATGACACTTTTACTCTTTAGCTTAGAATGTGTGAAGCCAAATTGACTCTTTAGCTCATAAACAAAAGAAGGAATAGAGAAAATACCAAGTTTATTAGGGGTAGAAGGCTTGGATCTTTGAACACCCAAAGAAGCAAGGTTGCAATTTGCCCTTCTCCCATCAATCACTGGTGCTGCATCTACACATGCTCTCATTGCTGCTTCTGCCTCTCTAAATGTCACCTTTTTATTTTTATTTTTTTCATAAATAAAAACACTTCATCAGTATAAGAATACAAACCAAGGTGTATAAAGTCACAAATTACTCATGAAAGTAAGTTGAACTGCTCCTATGACCTTTTTATAATGAAATTCAGTTACATATTCACAAATAAAAAGAAAAATACTGCATCTGTCCCATAAAAATCTTCACTACTTGGCTCTCATGTAGTCTTTTAAATGCTGAAAAATGAAAAAAATAGAATTTGAAAAAAAAATCACATTCAGAGTTTCGAAAAGTACTCCGTATTTAAAGTTTCTTTTTTTAGACGGACGAAAAAACAAACAAACAAATACACAAACAACGATACCCTTAAAATTAGCAAGTATGTTATGGTGCATTAACTAAATGATTTGTGCTTCCATGATGATCCTAAGGTAAGGTCGACGACATGGGCGACCTGGTGATCTTTTATTTTTTTCAAAAAAGCCCAATCCATCCATGCTATTTATATACTAAGGCCCATAAAATGAGTGTTGGACCTTATGACCATTCAAGAATTTGACTAAACTTAATACTATATACTTCCCTTAAAAAAACTCTAGCTTTCCTTTTTTAGTTGTTCAAAAAAGATATTTACAGAGGAGCATTTCACATTATTTCTGTACACACTACATAAACTTCAATTAGTCATACAATTTTACTTTTTCACAAACTTAAGAAAAATTAAAGACGAAATTCTTTCAGAAGCATCAGTTTTATAATTTGATGATGGAATTTGAAGTGTTAACGAACAGAAGAACGAATAAATAAAGAGAAAACATACAAAGCCGTAGCCCTTGGATCTGCCGGTGGCCTTGTCGGAGATGACGACGGCTTCCAAGATGTCGCCGAACTGCTGAAAGTACTTCTCCATCGTTTCCTTCTGAGTCTCCCAAGCCAGGCCTCCCACGAACACCTTCGTGTACGTCGTGTCTCCGAACTGCCCGTTCATCCCCGCCGCCGCCATCCAATTGATCGATGATCTGTTCCTCGATTTCTCGATTCCTCTGGATTCCGATCAGTAGTTTTATCTTTCTCGTCTCTGATCGGAGATTGCGGTGAGATTAGGGATGAGGGAGAAAAAGGAGAACAAAAAAGGGAGGGAATTGATTGATGGTAATGAGATGAGGAAATGAGGGAGAGGATAAATATAGAGGGAACTAGATAATGCTCTTTTTCTCGTGGATCCTTTCTCTTTCTCATATTGCATTTTTACTACTTCGCATCTCCAATGTATAGTGTAAAAGTTGGTAGTGTAAATTTCATTTTACACTATCAACAATATTTTACACTTCCACTTTTTAATACATAATCCAACCATGTTTTGTATAATATATTTCCTACTACACATTTATTCATGTTCCTATCTACAACCACCTTGTATATATACACTTTGCTAATTGTATTTTACCATATATTGTATTTTAGCATTTGTTTTACACTCTCCCTTGGAGTGTCAAAAAGTTAAACACAAAGTGTAAATTGTGTAAATTTTAGCATATGGCTTCTGCGCTGGAGATGCTCTTAGACAATACTTCTTTTGTTATTTGCAAGTTTTAATTGTCTTAGAAAATTAGTGACACAAGTTTGTTGAAATAACTCTTCTTTTTTTTTATTTTTTCTACTTTCAAGAAGACCATGGAAATCCTTATACTTGCTATAAAGACTAGAGACATTCAATCCATAAACGTTAAATGTGTTATGTACAAATGTCTTTTGATGTTCTACATGTCCTTTGATTATCCCCTTAAATTAGACCTTTGCTTTTTTCCTTTGTAAGCCTATATATAGAGGCACTATATGTTGAAATGTATGATCCATATCTTTAGTCTCTCATTGCATTCTTTCTCTTTCACTCTCCATTGCACTTTGATCTTCCATTTGTGTTCTTATCAAGGTATATCTCTATCATCTTGTTCTTGATAATATTTCTATTATCTTTATTCTTAACACGTTATCAGCACGATAGCAAAAAATTCTAATTTTATAGAAACTACTCTCCTTCATCTTTTGTCCTTATTGATATTCATGTTATAGATATATACATATACACATACACTTATTTATTTTAGTTTTTTTAGTGAACTTGAAGATATATTGAATCTAAAGATCAATCCTAAATATATTAGAGAATTGGCATCTGAAGCCTACATTATGTGTTAAAATTGAAGGTTATATGATAAAACTCAACCTGAAGTTTGAGTACATATTATGTCGAAAAAATTTTCATTTCTTTAGTTTTTCTCTTTTGGCTAGTGAACTTGAAGTTCATATTCTGATTTCATATGCTCGAAGCATTAACAGTGAAATTCAAACCTGAAGATTTGAGTATGCCACATGAATAAATAGGTGACATTATTATCTACTATGCAACAAAGAAATAATAATAATAATAGTAATATTAATATTATAGACTTATTATTTATGATTATGTAATGTGCTCTAATTTATCATTATGTCTAATTGTAACCTCCGCTATAATAATAATAATAATAATAATAATAATGCATAATAAATAATGATAATAATTGAGACCTTCAAGTACCTAAGCCGTTTTTAATAAAAAAAACCCTTTTATTCAATCAATACACATTAATTTATTTATAATAAAAAAGAGTACAGTGCTTATAATGCTCCCCAGGACATGGTAAAAGATCCTTGAGTTGACGCATTCCAATACCATTGATCATCTTCCTAAATGTCGTGGTTGGCAATGCCTTTGTGAACAAATCCGCAAGGTTATTGCATGACTGTATCTGACAAACTGCAAGGTTCGTTCTTCTATCCGCACAAGCTTCAAAAAAGTGGAGACATTGAGGTTTGTCAGATACAATCATGCAATAACCTTGCGGATTTGTTCACAAAGGCATTGCCAACCACGACATTTAGGAAGATGATCAATGGTATTGGAATGCGTCAACTCAAGGATCTTTTGCCATGTCCTGGGGAGCATTATAAGCACTGTACTCTTTTTCCTTCGTCCAAGTTTTTGTCCCATTGGGTTTTTCTTGGCAAGGTTTTAACGAGGCAGTGTCTTAAGCTCAAATCTACCTAAATGGTGAACATCCAAAATCCAAGGGGGAGTGTTATGTACAAATGTCTTTTGATGTTCTCCATGTCCTTTGATTATCCCCTTAAATTAGACCTTTGCTTTTCCCCCTTTTAAGCCTATATATAGAGGCACTATATGTTGAAATGGATGATCCATATCTTTAGTCTCTCATTGCATTCTTTCTCTTTCACTCTCCATTGCACTTTGATCTTCCATTTGTGTTCTTATCAAGGTATATCCCTATCATCTTGTTCTTGACAATATTTCTATTATCTTTATTCTTAACAAAATGTGTTTTTTCCTGTTTTTCTGTAATGTTTTATGGTAATAATTCTTAGGTCACTCTTTTTTTTATTTCTTTGTTTTTATTTTTTTTTTGTTACTCTTTTTTAAAGTGTTTTTTAGAATTTCTTCCATAAAATCGTATAAAATTCAAAATTATGTGTATGATATAAAAATAAATGAAACCAAGTAATGGCAAAATAGGAAAAAATGGTAATGACATAATATGAAAAAATGTATTTATTAATACTTATGGATGGAGTGTCGAATGAAATGTTCCCTCACAGTCATTACAACAAAATGTAAGGACCTCTGTTTTGTTCTTGAAAATAGAGGGACCTGAGAGTTATTTCAACAAAACTTGCGTCACCCGTAAGTAATGTTTTGTTATGTCCTCTTGTACCCTTTCACTCAAAAAAAGTTTTTTATTGACTTAAATAATTTTCATTTCTAGTGAAAAAGTTGGTGAGAAATTTTAAAAATAAAAGTACTATATTTAAAAACTATGTTCGTATAAAATAATAGCAGTCTGTACGCATTGCGAAATTGGCAAGGTAAAAAATATTAAGTTCCTAACAACTGCACTGAATCTAAGGGTGCCCTGGAAGATGGGGCTCATCCTTTTTGTATAAAATGTTAAGATAATTATGTAAATAATTAGCTTAGTCAAAGTGTATATATATTGTTACCTTGTTTATAGGATCAGTTTCCTAGTTTATTGCCTAAATGTATGCCAAGATTATTCCTTGTATACAAGGAATAACCTGGTGGCAGGGGTGGACGGTTCGGTGGCAGGGGTGGACGGTTCGGTGGCAAGGGTGGCGGCCGTGGAAGCTCTGGACCACATCAGCAGCAGTGGCAGAATCCTCCGGCACCCTGGCAACAGCCTCAGGGGGCACAGTACCCGGGTTGGGGATGGATGCCTCAATGGGCTACTCCTCCATGTCCATACCCCAATCAGGGCTGGGCACGACCTCAAGGCCCACCTAAACAGCCTGGTTTATTAGGTCCTCGTCCACAAGTCTATGCAACTTCCACTCAGCCTATGCAGTACGCTCCAACAGACATTGAGTCTGCTATGCACACTATGACGTTACATCAACCCGACCCCTCCTGGTACATGGACACCGGCGCCACTTCTCATATGACATCCTCCAACGGTACTCTCGCGTCTTATTTTAATTTGAGCAATCATCCTAATGCTATTGTTGTTGGTAATGGTCATACTATTCCAATTCATGGTTGTGGACATACTACTCTCACTTCCCCTAATCCTCCCTTATCCCTAAACAATGTACTCCATGCTCCC